CAATTATCAAAATTAAGAAATTACCATTAACATAATACTATCACCTACTCCACAGTTATTCATATTTCACCTGTTATCCGAATAATGTCCTTTACAGCAAATGGAAATCTAAGACCCTTCACTACATTCTATTGCCGTGTGTCTTTAGTCTCTTTGAATTTGAAACAGTTCCTAAAACTGTCTCTATTTCATGACATAGATGGGTTTTAAGAGGGTAGATCACTTATTTTGCAGAATACCCCTCAATTGGGGCTTGCCTGATATTTCCTCACAATTAAATTCAGGGTTTGTGTTATTGGCGGGAATGTTACAGAAGTGATGCCTAGTTCTTTTCACATCTCAGGAGGTATGTTCTGCTGACTCATCCCATTCCTGGCAGTGTGAACTTGGATAACTGGGGTTAGGTGGTGCCTGCCAAGATTCCCCACTATAAAATAATTTTACCCTTTGTAATTAGTTTCAAAGATACTTTGAAACCATGTAAATAGTTCCTTATTAGTTTTCATATGTTCACCAAGTAGATTAGCACCCATTCATAATTCTCAACTGTGTCAAAAGTTAATATTGTTGGTCGCCAAATAATGATTTTCTACTTGTATTAGCTGGCTTCCTATTGTATGGAAGACTTTTCCCTTCTCATTCACTCATTCATAGGCATGTAGTTAATATGTTATGTTATTCAGTGGATTATTATTCTTTGGTACCATGGTTTACCTTGCTCACAATTTTCCAGATTTCATTACTAGGAACCACCTCATGCTCTTATGTCCTTTTCAACAAATATGTTTTAGTGCTTACAAACAGCATTGGGGACACAGCAATGAACAAAGCAGAAAAAAATAATTATTCTGGCCTTATAGAGCTTACATTCTAGTTTGTGGAAGGCAAAAAAAAGTAAGTAAACAAATGATAAGTGCTTTAAAGGTCAATACATGTTGTGGAGAATAAGAGCAGCCAGCTTTTGGTGTAGGGAGTGCTTTCACTGCGTTGCTTAGGCACAGTCAGGGAATACCTCATTAGCACATGCCATTTGAGCCAAGACCTCAAGAGCCTGGGGAAGCCAACCATGTGGATCTGGAGGAAAACTCTTCCAGGCCCCACTGAGCACTCCGGAGCAGCTGGACCAGCTGGAATTCCTTGAGGCGGGAACAAATTGACATTTTAGTGGGATTCCTCTGCTTGCTGAGTTGAGCTCAGACTGGGAGGTAAGGATGAAAAAGCATTCATGAGGTGCCTTAAATTCCCATAGTGCACATCTCTAAGGCACTGAAAATTTTGTCCAAGCATGTATTGATATAATGACAATTTTGTTGAATAGATTTGCCACCTCAAAGAAACACAGTTCTGATAGAAGTAGGACAAGTGAAAAGTCAGGAGGGGTGGGAGTTTGGGGTTGGGGGAGCAGAACTATCCCCCAATGAACATATACTAGGTGCTGTTTATGCTTCTTTGAACTCTCAGAGCAATCTTAGAGTAGGTGTTATTTTTCACATGAGGAAAGTGAGGTACAGAAAGGCATGGGCTTTCCCTTTTGCCACAACGTCTAGTTTTAATAACAGAGAAAAAGTGAGAAGAGGGATGAGGTATCAGGGATGATACCACGAAGAGCACAGTGAGGACATAAGACTGTTCTTTTGGCCCAGTGCCTATGTTCTCTGCAGCCACTTCTATTAAGGGTTTCCCCTCCTGGTAACTAAACAAGGTTAGCAACATGTGTCTACCTGATTTACCAGATTACCAGGCAGCTCCTGTGCACCCTCTCCCACCCTGTGTTTTCTGCATCAAAGCTGCAGAGCTGTCAGTTCTCCCCAGAACCCTCTGCTGCACTGTGTGAGCAGAAATTTTAATTCACAGCCGTATTTCCATATAGTTGCTCAGCAAGCCACCTGGTTACATAGACCTAACTCTTAAATTATTGATCATCTCCTCCTATCCAGAAGCTTTCATAAACATGCACAGCAGATAGATAGATAGATAGATAGATAGAGAGATAGATAAAAGGGAGAGAGGGAGGGAACAAGGGAGGGA